TACATGTCAAATCCACCAGTGTTGGTTCCTCTTGAACCCGGGAAGCCATTGTTGTTATACCTGTCAGTTTTGAACAATGCATTTGGATAAGTGTTGGAAAACGACGATGAGACCGGAAGAAAAGAGCAAGCTATCTACTACTTAAGCAAGAAGTGTACACCATGCGAAGCCGAATACACTTTCATAGAGCACGCTTGTTGTGCTTTGACTTGGATAGTCCTGAAGTTGAGGCACTACATGTTAACATACACCACACATCTAATATACCGGCTCGACCTTCTTAAGTATATCTCCTAGAAGCTGATGCCTACGGGAAAACTGGCCAAATGGCAGATTCTTTTAAGAGAAATTGACATTCTGTACTTAATGCATAAAGCCATCAAAGGACAAGCCTCAGCCGACCACCTTGCAGAGAATCAAGTGCACAAGGATTTTGAGCCGCTCACTACATACTTTCCGGAAAACGAAGTGTTATTCGCCGGAGAAAACATTACAGAGTCATACCCAGGATAGAGAATGTTCTTCGATAGAGCAGCAAATTTAAAAGGAGTAGGAATTGGGGCAGTCTTAATTTCAGTGTTGGGATAGCATTATCCGGCGTAAGAAAATATAAGGTTCCCCTAAACAAATAATATGGCCGAGTACAAAGTATGCCTCCTCGGGATTAGGAGTGCGGTCGACATAAGCATCAAGAAGTATCTGGTCATAGGAGATTCTTATATGTTGATACATCAAGTTCAAGGAGAATGGACTTCCAAGAACATCAAGATCCTTCCATACCTGCATTGCATAAAGGAGTTGTGCAAGAAGTTCACAACAATCAATTTCAAGCACATTCCCAGGATCCATAACGAGTTTGCCGATGCTCTCGCAACCTTATCATCCATGATCCAGCATCCAGATAAGAATTACATCGACCCTATTGAAATTGAGACCAGGGATCAACATGCGTACGGTTTCCATGTAGATGGAGAGCTAGACGGTAAGCCGAGGTACCACGACATTAAAAGGTTTCTTGAAATAAGAAGGTATCCAGAGACTGTCACCAAGGTTCAGAAGTGAGCACTCAAAAGGCTAGCAAATCACTTTTTCCTTAACGGGGAAGTCTTGTATAGGAGGAACCCAGACTTGGATATGTTAAGATATGTAGATGTCGCTTAAGCAACTAGAATGATAGAAGAAATACATGTAGAGACATGCAGACACCACATGAATGGCTTCACCTTAGCCAAGAAGAATTTAAGAGCCGGATACTTTTGGATAACCATGGAAAGCGATAGGATCCGCTATGTACAGAAGTATCACCAATGCCAGATCCACGAAGATTTCATCCGGGTTCCAACTAATGCGTTGAATTTAATGGGATCGCCTTGGCCTTTTGCCGCCTGGGGAATGGACGTAATCAGACCTATAAAGCCCACTGCATCAAATAGATAATGTTTCATCTTGGTATAAATTGATTAATTCCCCAAATAGGTCGAAGCATCTACATACAAAGCTGTTATGAAGAAAGTAGTGACAGATCTCGTCCGTAACAACATAGTATGCTGATTTGGGATAGCCGAGTCAATCATCACTGACAACGCAGCCAATCTCAACAGTGATCTCATGAGAGAAGTTTAGAATCATCCATCGTAACTCTACAGCCTACAGACTGCAAAAGAATGGAGAAGTTGAAGCAGCCAACAAAAACATCAAGAGCATTCTACAAAAAATAGTGGACAATCATAGGCAATGGCACGAGTAATTATCCTTTGCCTTAATGGGTTATCGTACTACTATGAGGACATCCACTGGGTAACACCATGCATGTTGGTATATGACACTGAAGCTGTGATACCCGCAGAGGTCGACACACCTTCCTTGAGAGTCATTCAAGAAGACAAGTTCGATGATATAGAATGGATATGGGTCAAGTAGGAGTAACTCATGCTCATTGACGAGAAGAGAATGGATGCAGTATGCCATGGTCAACTGTATCAAAGTAGGATGGACAGTGCCTTCAATAAAAGGGTAAACCTCACCAATTTATACCGAGGCAGTTGATTTTGAAGAAAATATTCCCTCATTAATAAGAAGTCAAGGGAAAGTTTGCGCCAAATTGGCAAGGTCCTTATGTGGTCCACCGAGTTTTGTCGGGAGGAGCTCTGTTCTTGGCAGAGATGGACGGAAAAGTTAGCATGAAGCCTATCAACCCGGACACAATCAAGAGATACTAATTCGAAGAAAGTGAAGTTAGGTTTTTGTTTAAACAAAACTATGCCACACCTGACTTCCCATGGAGGGATACATAGGCAACACACATATGGTCTGATCATTCTCTCTCGCCCACTCTTCTTTTGTAATAGGAAATCCAAATACTATTTTGTATGTACTCGGAACTACGCCGCGACTTAATTTCCTTTGGAAGGAATACGTAGGCAATCCTTATCAGATTCAGTCATCTTTTGTAATTGAACTACGTCATGACCCAATTCCATTTGGATACGTAGGCTTCCAGAGTCAGGCTCGGTCATCGTCATATTTTTCTTTATCGTTATCCATGAATTACGTTCAGATCTGATTCCTACTCAGATACTTTGGCAACCTAAAAAGGTTTGGTCATGACCTTAGGAAAATCTTTGTAATGCATTAGTTTAGATTAGGATACACTCGCAGCAACAAGAAGCCACACCATCAGAATAATCTTATTAGATCGACATCAATGAGACAGAGTTTTCCAGTAACAACGTTCGTGTCTGAGGGATTTCCTAGACATGTCATAATCTGGAATGACAACATTTTCCATAAGATAAAAGATTTTCAAAATGTTTCCTTAAAATGTAACAATCTGTTCCACCTAACGAACGTCATGGTGTAACCTCACCAAGCCTGGGGCAACGCCAAGGCTATTGTCGACACAAACTAACACCTCCCCTGCTAAGAATTTTTCTTTGAGTGCAGGAATAACAAGATACAAGGCAAAGCTGGAGCAGGCTGGGGCAATGACGGACCCACCACTCTTAGGTATTTTAACACCAGGCCACCGATGCAAACGAAGCATATTGTAAATAGCAAACTGTCAACTCAACCAAGCAGAGCATGTTGTATATAGCGAGCCGCTGGCCCCGCCAACCAAATCCATATGTATAGTAAATCGTTTGCTCAAACAAGCAGAGCATGTTACATATAATGAGCTGCTTGGCCCGCGAACCGATGCCATGTGTATAGCAAACTGCCAGCTCAATCAATCAGAGCGCACTGTACAAATCGAGTCGTCGGCTTTGCCAATCGAAGCCCTGTATCTAACAAATTGTCCGCTTCGCCAACAGGAGCATTCCTCACCGCCACTCAGCCATATCGAAGATTACAAGTAGATAGCTACAAATCTCGTCACCAACATTATGCCGAATGACAAATGCAATTTAGTTGCATTCAAGAGTATCTCTTGGGCACACTCCTTATTTATTTATTTTTGTCTCGAATGTTTTTACGTTTTGCTTATGCAACCTCCAAGCATGATTATATTTTCAGGTCGGAAACTCCCATCGTGCGGATATGCTTTACATTTCAATGCAAATGCTCCCATCACTCAGAGATACTTACATTTCAATGCAACTACTCCCATCACGCGGGGATACATTCTAAATTATAACTACTCCCATCGCGCGGAGACACTCCCAACTTGAGGATACTTAATGCTCTGACAGCTGTGAGATGATACAAAACGCATCTAATAATCGAGTCAAATTCAAGTATACTGTCATTCCAATCCAAATAAATGGCTAGCCGGCAGCCATGCATCATCATTCCTCCATCATTTACATCACATCTTAACATGTCTGCATTACGATATAAGGGTATGTGTATATTTGTTTTTGCAGGAATAGACATCGCAACGTGGAACTTCTTTTAAGCAGCAAACCAAGCTATAATGCTATGAGAGACAATAAACTCATAAGGGGACCAAGGATCCAAGTTCAAACTCAAATACGATAAGTGGAACTCTAATTCTTCAAATCTTTCAAATCAAGCCGCAATTCAAGAGCTATCATGGTTACCAAATCTTCTGTCTCGCAATATTGTCATAATACGATACTGGAGCAAAATTGGCCTTGGTTCGAATTATTTGCCCAAAAACTCTTTTATCGTCTCCGGTCAAAGAGGGACAGCTGTTGACGACCAATTTTGACCCTCACTTTTAAAATTACTTTATTTATACTTAATGGTTTGCAATAAATGTGTTGAAAGTATTTTCTAATCAATAATACCTATTTTTATAAAAACAATTAGTAATTAATAGTGTTGAAATTAATAATTTGTCTTACATAATTATAAGATATATCATACTTACTATTTTGAGACTATTAAAATAACCTTTATATACATTATATAAGTTTTACAATTAATGTAATAAGTTATTCCGTAATTTTTAGTTAATTATCCTACTATTTTAATAATTCAAAATTAATGTCAAAACAAAAAGAACATAAAAAAACAAAAGAACAGATAATAAGAGAATCACTATTCGGGTGTTTTGAAAATAAAGTATTTTTAAAAATAATTAATTAATTAGTAGTGTACTTGATGATTATAACTTTTTTTATATTTTATTGAAATTATTTATGTTTATTTAAATTAATTATAAAAGGGTTTAAAAACCACAAAGGCTAAAAATGCAAATACCTAATTCAATACAAATGGCTATTTTTTAAATTGTTTTAGCCCAAACTGACCTGATCCAGTCCACACAACCCCATCTACTCAACCTTGGCAATCTAGGCTACCCTCCCAAAGCCAATCAAACTCCGCCATGTCACTTGTCCCAATTCACTAACAAAACAAATACAACTCATCCTGACCGTTGATTTATATCTTCAACGGAGCATGATTAATCCCATTTTCCATTAGTTTTTAAAAGCCCATCTCATTTTATCTCCACCGTTGGATCACAAGAATCCAATGACCATCGATTTGATCCAACGGCTCCCGTTCCATTTCTTATTTTTATCTCTAGAGACGACTAACCCCAACCCCAAACCCTAATTCATTTACCCTGCTCACCTAGCAGCCCCTTTTCTCTTTCCTCTCTCTATTCTCTCAAATCGTAGACCCATTAATCCCAGAAACCTTGTGCCTTCTGACTCCTCGAATCTCATCGGTATCTCCCTATTACATCATATGAATTTGAAATCTCATGTTACTTACACTCAAAGATGAAACTTCATGTCTTCAAGATCTTCTGGTGCTACAACAAAATCAGAGCATGCATGGCATCTCATTATGTTTATTCGAAACCAGAGGTACCTCTGGATTTCCGGTCTTTGTGCGATGGTATTTCTTGCCTGCAACGACTCTCTTCAACTCAGGTAAAACTCCTATGATTTTCCCCTATGATCTTTGGATTTTCACTCATTTTGCTCGCATCATCAATCTCTCCATCACTCTCCACTATCAATTTGAATTTTTGTGGAACCCTAAGGCTTCAATGGCCACTATAAATAAAGCCTTCAATGCTCTCACCTAACACGACCTACCACCTAATACAATATAGAAAATGAAAGAGAATTAAAAACCCCTAAACTTCTCACTGATTTTATTTTCTTTCTCCGGTTCTGAGTTTATACGCAGTCTAGGCTTGAGGTTTGGTTTCTTAGCGGCTAAATAAAAGGTTTCGCTTGGTTTTATGCTCTGCGAAAGGTCAGTGTACACCGATCCTTCTTTTCCCTTCAGTTATGTGTGTTTATCTAGTGATTTTGATGTTTTCTCTTCGTTCATAATGCATGTTTGATAATTTCTATATGGCCTATTATATTCTTTGCCATTCTTATTAAGTTAAATGCTTTTCCTCATGATAATCCATGGTTGCTTTAGTGTTGCTTTGTAACCTGTGACTTAATTAGATAACACCCGCTATAATGAAATGGCAAAAAATACTGTTGAACTCTTGTTACTAGTTTAAAAGGCTTCGGATGTTCTTTTAACCCTATCATCATGCTTACTTGACTAAACTGTGATCTCATACCCATATGATGTTTTGCTAGGAACTTATGTTTGCTGCTTCTGTATTACACTAGTTATAAGGTTAATTATGTTATACTATTATTGATCCATGTCATGCTTAATATGTTCTGTCATGTTTTGATTCTTGAAAAACATCATTCTGTAATGAGCTTGAGTGTCCTCTATTAGTCCTTGTCTGAAGGATTCATGTCTAAGCCGCTATACTTTTATTGCTTCATAGAAGAGTAAGTTGAACTTGCCAGTTTTGACAGCTTAAAAAATAGAGAATTTGAGGAGAGAAGCTATTGTTGGCACTCATAGGCTTAAACAAATTCTTAATGTCTGTTTGCCCAGTTAAAATAAATACTATTCTATATTAATTGATGACCTCTGTTTGTGTAGGTTTAGTTATGAATATGGATGTTTTGATTAAGAATTTAAGGAACTAATGATCCTACTACAAAGTTTCAATCATGCTAAGATTGACCTTCTTGTCTACATTTATATCACTCCCTGAACTGATCATACCAAGTTAAACTTTATCATGTTTGGGCTGATGCATTCACCTGTGTAACTGGACTAGTCATCTTACTATTTCTACCCTGCTTATTCCATGTGAAACCTCCTTTGTTCTAAACTTTTATAATTAATTTATTGGATTGACCCTATACTCCATCATGCTGTAGTTTTACACTCCTTAGGGATATCTTTGCATGAGCTTGATTGTCTGCTCTTGGACTGCTGTACTCATTCATGTTATCAAACAAACTCTCTGCTTATATTTCATACGCATTCTTATGTATTTTATTGCCCTATCACATAATGAATATTGAACCTTGCTATGTTTGTATAAGTGAACTATAATTCATTTGTGGATTTGAGAGAGCATTCTAATGATATGTGTTCAGCTCAAGTAGAATATTATGCCTCGACTCTTAATGAACCCAATGAGAATGTGATATCAGGAATGTTTTAAGGAGAAAGCAATCACCTATTAGAGTTGAAATCAATTTGCTAACTTACATACTCCTTTTGATGCTCTCTAAAGTTCCTATATAAAACTGTTAATTCATACATCCATTAGAATCCAAGACTTGACCTGCGTACAAATCCCTGATCAACTTAAGCCTGGAACTGTTAAGCATGAGGATCCCCTATAAATCTGAACTATGTACCTCTTTTATTTCATACTGCCTGACTCAATAGTTTGACTTTTCGAAATGATCAGCCACTAATCTTTTCCCTTAATTATACATGTTATCGTTTTCTTTGGATGTTCTTCTACATATTGGTGGTTCTTAGCAATGAACTACACATTGGTGTTTGAATTGTGATTTCTTTAGTATTATCTGTTATTACATTTTCCCAGTAACATTAAGTATAGTTTCTATTGGAAGTACACATTCCTAAGCTTGTGTATGATTGTTATAGTTGTACTTAAATTTACAATGAAGGCCTTATTGGCATTTAAACCTATAGGGAGGAGTAAATGTGAATTGTTAGAGGTATTTAGGAATGAGATTTGGTTTGTAGTTGAGATACTCTCCCTGACACATTCACTCATCGGGGTCCTTGAAACCCTTGTGAACTTTGAAGTGCCAGTGGCTCAAAGAGTGTCTTTGATATAAATGGAATGTCATGTTAAGCCCTTAATCATTGACATTTGCTAATCACTTAGGGGTTAGTGTTTAATGAAGAGAAAGGCTTCATTGTAATTTTCCATACTCTGCTCGATCTTACACAGTCTTATTTACATTTCTCCACCACAAATATTTGTTATAGTCTCATGTGGACCTTACGTTTGATCTTATCTACCTTTAAATATTTTTTTTGGGTTTTTGTCACTAATTTCTACCTTTTTCTCTAGAATATGTAACTGATCTGGGCCTACTGAGTTTTCAAGAACTCAGGCCCAAGTTCAAGCTTTTAGTTTGAAGTCATGGGAGCCACTGCTGCTTGTCTGCTGTTCGCTGGGCCTAACCTTCTTCAGAACCAGATTACTGAGTCCAATTCCCTTTCCTTCCTCAATAGATGAATTGAATCTATTATCTTTTCTTTACATGAGTATAATACTAACGATATTGATTGAATATTTTATTTTTTCTCAAAGGTTTTAGGAGCCTAGGAAATCCAAGATCCATAGGTAATAAAATAAATCACTATTACATTACGATCAGTTATAAAGTTTCGGCGCTTTGATCATTTATTCTTCATTACATAAGATTTCACTTTTAATTATACTAACTATTTTAATGGAGTTCTTTGAAGTTCAAAACAGATTTTGAAAAGTAAATACAATTCTTCTTCTAATGCCGAAATTAAAAAAGAAGATTTCAAAGTCAGCTCTTTCTATAAACAAAAATCAACACGATTGGAGTCAAGACTGTTAAACCTTTCAATGATTTTTCTTCAAACATGCTGCTACAAATTGAAAAACATTTCCAAAGGTATATGCAAGGCCCATTTCCAATAGTCGTTACTCTACTAGACCCTTTTACAAGTAACTATTTTGTAAAGTGTTCAAACATAGACACATCTTATACCTTTGCAAAATCTTGTAGATGTAAACATTTCAAATGGTTTTTACAAATTAAACTTATCTATTCTTTTTAAAGTACATATATTATTTCCTTTCAAAATGTTAAGTATTTAAATATGACATAGGTAAGCCATACACTTTAAGCTCTAATTAAGCAGAATATAGACATCTAATTCCTTAAACCTAGTCTAAGTCCTATGGAGCTACCTCGGATAGATTTTAGGGGTTGCCTAACACCTTCCTCTTAGAAGAAGAAGAACTCTTACCCAAATCTCATCGGTCAGTAGACTAAAAGGATAATGATCTTAATAATTAAATAGGTACCTTAGTATACCTTTAAATATTAGGTGGAGACTGTTTTTTAACATTAGCAAGGAAGCCACTAGTTGAATCTTATTTTGACTCGCACAAAATAGGATACAAAAATACTTACCTCATTCGAGCTAGTCTTCAATCTCTAATTGCGTCAAACCTTGATCTAGCCGACAAATCGCCCAAATCCAAGCCAAACATCATCCAAAATCCCAACAATGTCATATGAAGCGATCACAATCCATAATGCTTCGGTTATTATAGAAATTCTCAAAGTCAACGAGGGCTCGCATGCCCAAAATATGTATCCTATACAAAAAGTCAATGATCCATAATCTTCCGAGTATAAATATATAATTAGTTCCCAAAATCGAGTCCAAATTGGTACTCAAATCCCCAAAATACACTTTCTTAAAGTGTTTACAAAAACCCTAATTTTTTCTTCAAATTTAAATGTTCTTAGTGTATAAATACATGGGAAAACAATATATATTAAAAAGCAAAGTAGAAATTACTTACCCTCTCTTCAAGACGAGAAAAATGTCATACAAATCACCCAAATCCGAGATCTAGAGCTCCAAATATGTAAAATACCGAATGGACAAAGTTTGGAATATTGATAGGAGTGATTTTCGCTACCGCAGAAAATAATCTGCTTTTGTAGGTCCTAAGGGCCTAAGAGTCGCTTCTGCAGTGCAAAACTGCTTCAGCAGCCCTTTTTCTGCAATTGTGGTGCACCAGCACCAACAATCTTTCCCAATACTAAAATGAGCATAACTCTGTCATACGACATCGAAATTTGATGATTCTTGTTGCTATGGTTCCGAAATCACTTTATGGATCTAATATTTCAACCAAAACACAATTTAGAGCTCACTTGTTTAATATGGTAGCATTTATGTTTGAAGAAACTATGTCAAAACATCAAATACGAGTGCAACACAACCCAAACCTATTCGTAACTCATCGCAAAAACCTGATGAAACGTTCAAATCAAGATTCCGAGCTTGTTAAGTCTACTATTTGGTTGTGGTGAACTCAAATTCTTACGCTTAGCTAGTATACAACTCAAGTGTCCGAATCATTGTTAAATATTCCGGATCATAGCCAAACATTGCACACAAGTTCTAATCAACTAAATGAACCTATTAAAGGTCTCAAAACACATGTTTTGAAATACGAAATGAAAATATTGTCTGATTAATAACAACAGTAACTAAAAAGGAAAGAGACTTCAAGGACTATGATCAGAATATAGCTCTACCTTGTCTCTCGGCAGCTCACGACAATCACAGACAACTCTCAACTGGGTCCAACACCTAGATCTGCACAATTACGTGTAGAGTGTAGTACGAGTACAACCAAGCCCATATACTCAACAAGTATCATATCTTACCTTGGCGAGGTAATAGTGGAAGGAATTACCAATGATACTCGCTAATAACCTGCTCAGTTCATGAATTTCACAAGTACATAACAATGGTACAATCTAATCATAAGAAAGCAGAATAAAATCACATTGGTTAATAAAGAGATAATGTGCCATGCCCTGTATAAGTTATCAATCAAGCATATAAAGAAGAGATGCAATAACAAAACAATGATCAGTTTTCCGCATACAGTGTGTTACGCCTTGACCTTGGGGAGCGCGACCGGTGCTCAACCAAGATATCCAAATTAATCAAGCCTACTAGATTTTTTCCACCCGACCTTACCCATGAACAATGCGAAGATGAATATCATGAGTTAGACAACAAAAGAGTAACATGTACAACACAAATTTCATTTCTTTTAGAAACCCCATTTACAGTTCCCAAAATACATTACACATTCATAGTTTAGAAGTGAAAATATGTGTTACAAGTACAACATTTCTAGTTTGACTTTCTTAAATACAACCCACACTATGTCTACGAAGCATCTATTTGATACAAAAGAGTAATATGATAATGCCGAGGACAAGGCCCTGGCTATACCTCAAAACACTATACACACGAAGCAAAAGACACAAGACCCCGATATGAAGTGGGGCTCACCAAGTCAGCTGAGAAGAGGGTGTACTGCTATCACTGATCGATATAGCCTGTTGTGGAACCACCTGCATCCATTAATGATGCAGTATCCTGGCAAAAGGGACATTAGTACTGTCTGGGCGGGTCTCCATACATGCCCCATGAACCCTTGGACGCACCCCATGGCATCCTCGCAAGCCTCCTAATGCTTAGCTCCATGGAAGAAACTATGGTCTTGGACGCGTTAAGTGACAAGTGCAGCTGTGCCTATGTCGCCCCGCCGATAGCACTCACCATCGCCCAGCCACAAGCAAATGCCAACAGCATCGCGCGCGCAAACTCTGATGCTAAAGAGAAGGTTGTTGCCAACGGACCTGCTTCTGCTTTATAGGAATCTAAGTCATTTCTATTGTAAATATAGAGTATTTTTACTTTATGTATTTCCATTATGTCTCCCAAGCTTAGTTATGTCAAGTCATGTACGTTTGGTTTATTTCTTTTTAAGTACAATAGACCCTTGTGGTACGACCCTTCCCCAGCCCCCACGCATAGTGGGAGTTGAGTGCACCAGACTTCCCCTACTATTAGGGGGGATCAATCAATCAAACTTTCTAGCAAGCAAACAATTTCTTTTATGTTCACTCAATTGCACTTTGCATTGGTTTTCTTGCATGACACTGACAATCTCGTCTAGCGTATGGAGGGGACCCTAGTTGGCGGATTATAACTGCACGGACATTGGTTTCTTAGCCTTACATCACCCTTCCAAGGAATATCAGGAAGTTGCCGCGTGAAAGTTGGTATCAAAGACCAAACTCGACATCAAACGAAGGAACACATTGCCATTACCACTATTTCTGACCATGGTAAAACACAGGGACCGCATTGTGGCCCTTGAAGAGACGGTTGACGTATTATTACCTATCGTGAATACGGTGTCTGATTTAAGAACCAACCTAGTACAAAGGTTGGATGACCTAGACCACAGGATGTGGCAGGCCAAAGGTGACATCGTGAATATCAGTTGTGACTCTGAGGGAGACCGGCAAACGATAGCCACATGGCAGCCAAAAGTTTTGGTAAAATCGAGGGCCACCAACAGGAGAGTATCAAGGATTTAGCCTACATGACACAAGAGACAAACAGGGTGACTGCCATGCAGCAAACTATAGACAACTTTATAGGCCAGCTCAATTATGTCAATGTTGCACTACAAGGCCTAATTCGAGGAGGCGGAAACCAGGTTGGGGGTGCTGTGAACCCCGCCCATGTGCCATAAAAGCTGAAGATTCCTAAGCCAAAACCATACATTGGAGCTCAGAATTCCAAATAAGTGGAGAACATTCTCTTCGACATCGAACAATACTTTGATGTTGTGGGTGAGATAGAAGAAGCAAAAAAGGTAGCAATTGCTGCCATGTATCTTCAGGGTGATGCTAAACTCTGGTGGCGTGTGAAATAGAAAGACATCAGGGTTGGTGAAGATACTCTCGAGACATGGGAAGAACTGAAGTCGGCTATACGCTTACAGTTCTTCCCCGAAAATGTTGAGTACAATGCACGGAGAATGCTACGGGAGTTTTGCCAGACCAAGTTAGTGCGGGATTACGTGCACGAATTCTCTGCGCTCATGCTGAACATATGGGACATGGGGAACAAAGACAAACTCTTCACATTCCTAGATGATTTGAAACCTTATGCCCATATGGAGCTGCAAAGACAAAGGGTAGACACTTTACCCAAGGCGATCCAAGTTGCGGAATGCCTTGGGTACTATCAAGTGGAAGCTCGGAAGGATAGGCCTCAATTGCCCGTCCAAGGGGGATACAAAGGGGGCCAGCCTGGCAATGGTGGCCCTAGTAGAAGTGGAGGTGATCGCTGTGCAACCAAATCTAAGAAACCTTCCTCAGGAAGCATTAGTGTTGCATCTAAAAACAACGGTCGGGGGGAGAAATTCCCCTTCAGGATGCCGTCATTGTGGCAGGCCACATTGGAAAAATGAATGCCCACATGCACAGATGAATTCCTATCAAAATTTTGTTGATGGGACGGATGACAACACAAATGATACTGACCAGACCGAACCGATCGCTGCCTTCAATGTACTTATTTGTTCCATTTCTGAGACCTTAGCGGAAACCAGTACTTGAATATGTAAGAAGAAGGACCCATGCCCCACCACCGAGAAAGGAAAAAAGACAGCGGATGAGGGGCCTCCTCTTATCCAAGGGAAGACCTTGATATTCGTCGAGATGAAAGTTAATGACAAGCACATTCGGGCGATGATAGACAAAGGCGCTACTCACAACTACTTAGCCTCAACTCAGGTAGAACTCCTT